TTCTGGAGGCTTGAGGTCCCAGATCATAGTGTTAGCAGAATTGATTCCTTCTGAGGGTTGTGAGGAAGCATCTGCTCCAGGCCTTCTCTCTTGGCTTCTGCTGGTTTTCCAGCAATCTGTTGAATTCCACAGTAGAAGCACCACCCAGTCTCCCACTGTCATCTTTACATGGTGATCTCTGTGTGTCTGTGTCTAGGTTGGACCCTTATATCCCGATGGGCATATTAGATTAGGGACCAGCCTAATAACCTCATCTCAACTAATTACATCTGGTACAACCCTATTTCCAAATAAGGTGACATTCTGAGATGCTGGGTTAGAATTCCAACATATGCCATTTGGGGGATACACAATTCATACATAATCATCTGTTAAGTCCCTGAGATTTTGTGATTTGTCTATTATAGCAGCTATATTTCCTAACTAAAACAAGATAAATACAAAGTACAAAGCATATAAATAATTATGCACCCTGACAGATGGTGACTTTTGTTATCATGTCCCCCAGAAAGACAGAACTTACTATGAATCTAATGGGATGGAAGCTTCAGGGTCTTTCATGTCTATAGGCCTATTCCAAGGACCTGTCCCTAAATTTATACTAATTTTGTATTCACTGACCTTCCTTATAAAGAGGGGTCTATAAGATTATAGAAGCTCCAGACTCCACCTACCTGCATCCATCACACATCCTAGTCCATGTCTTCATTGCTTCCTCTTTAGAGCAGACACCTGGTCACCCTCCCTCTAATCTGTTATATGTATCACTGCCAAATTAAACTTCTCAAAAGCACACATCATCCAGTTGCTCAAAAATCTCCAGGGCTCATCATGCTGTGTTTGTTAATTCTATAAGCATTTCCTGAGAACCTGCTGCAGGCCAGACACCATGCTAGTTGCTGGGAATACAGTAAGGCACAAAATGAGTCTTACCCTTACATGACTTACAGCCACATGGAAAAATCAATTAGTCAACTATTGCTTAGAAATGCTGCATAACAAACAACTCTAGAACTTCAGGGGTTTATAACAACATTTATCTTTCTGCCTCATGGGTCAGTGGGTTGACAGTGGAGTTACTGCTGTGAGCTGAAAGTTGAGTTCAAGTCTTCTCTGCTCCACTCCACTCTTCCTGATATTAGTAGCTATCTGGGATGAGTTTACACAAATGCACAAGAAGGGTAAGTGGAAAGAAGCCAGAGTTCTAACTGGCCAAGCTCAGAGATGACATACTGGCACTCTCAACCACACACCTTGGGCCAAAGCCAATCACATTGGTTATTAGTTTGTTAGGGCTGTCTCACAGTTCTAGAGGCTAGAAGTTCAAGGTCAAGGTGTCGCAGAGTTCTTTTCTTCTGAAGTCTCTCTCCTTGACTTGTAGGTGGCCATCTTGTCTTCATATGGTCTTCTCTCTGTGTTTGTCTGTGTCCTAATCTCTTCTGATAAGGACACAGTCTTGAGTTAGTATCCACCCTAATGGCCTCGGTTTAACTTAATCCATCTTTAAAGACCCTATCTCCAAGTACAGTCACATTCTGAGCTGCTAGGGGGGTTAGGATTTCAATACATGCCTTGAAGGGTATGAAATTTCAGCCCATAACACATGGTTGGTCAAGTTCAACATCAATAGGATAGGAAAGTAGACTCCACCCACCATGGCAAAGATGAGTAAAGAAGTAACAACTGTGAACAAAGTGATACAATCTGCCTTCAGAGACAATAAGGACACAGTATAAGTATGACAGTGGAAATACAATACAACAGGATATAATCCAAATGTATCTGGCATTCAAATGCCTCCAAAAGCTGACCCCTGATTAGCCATCTTTATTAATTTCAACTTTACTGTAGATTAGTGTCGAACCCCTGGAAAAAGGGGCAGCAACAAGTGCAGTGGGATGTAGTAGAACGAGACAGGCCTGGATTCCTAAAACCCTTAACTTCCGCCTGACATCTTGTCTTCTCATCCAGCATGAGCCAAAAACTCTGTGTGATCCTGGGAAAATCACTTCCTCTCTCAGGATCTAACCTGATTTCTACAACGAAGAAGCAGACTCTCAAGTCCCTAAGATTCTTCACCTCAGCTTCTTCTCTTTGTGATATGTGCTCCATGAAACATTAGTCCCAGAAGATACCATGCAAATAAGTATTTGTGAGCAAATATACTTGGAAATGCTGCATGACCTATGCCTTCCTAAAATACCAAAGGTTATGAGATGTCATCCAATAGATTTTTTTTAAAGGAAACCACTTAACATCATGGGGGCCTCCCTGGTGGCCTAGGGGTTAAGTCTTAGTGCTACCACCACAGCAGCCTAACACAATGGCCTACCACAACAGTTTGATAGTCCGAGTTTGATCCCCTGTCAGGGAGCTGACCCACATGGCACAGCAGACCTCTCCTGCTTTACCCACTGCTCCCCTTAGCAGTGTATTTCAGTAGATCTGCCTGTTCTTCTCACTCTGTCTCTGGTGAATCCTCTCAGTGCCCCCAGCACCTCTGGCCTGTACCCCAGTTCTTATAAGCAAAAATAAAATCTTAAAAGAAAACAAAACACTTAACTTCAACTGGTTCCCAGATGTATTTGGCCCAAGAATTCTCTTTTTGCCCCTTGTCATGTAGCCCCTTGTCAATTGATAAATGAACCCCCTTAGAAGACACAGACTTGACTTGATGAGTTCAATTTTTGATCATCTTGTCCTGTTTCTCCTCCTCCCTGCTCTGTGAATTCTTGCATCTAAGCCAGACAGACTATGCTGTGGTTACATCTCACAAACCCCACATAACCACAACCCAATCATTCCCGTTCTGACAGTTACACAAACAAGGTAACAAAAGCACCGGGATCCCAAGCTCCCCCCAGCCCCAGTACCTGGGGACTCCACACACTTATTCTCAATGTTACTCATGTGCCTCTCCTTTGGGGGAATTCTCTTCAAAGTCTGGAGCATGTTTTCAAAATATCTGAAGGAATGGCATATCTTTGTCCTTTGTGGGAGAGAGTCGAGTTTTAGAAGCAATAAACATCTACTGGAGCCAAGTTTGGTCAATATCTTGGGTGAATACGCTGAGAAACTGCTCTGCATCAGAAATGGAGAGGAGAGTACAACCCGCCCCATCTTTCAGCCAGGCCCCTTCTCATCTGGCTTCCAGGTCTCTGGAACAAGAATAGTCGTTCCAAGCGAGATCTCCTATGCATTCCGAATCTCCGCACACCATATGCCGAGCAGTCTGCGGCTTGAATGGCAAACAATTATGTCCACTTGTTTGTTTTGTTCCCTTATTTGGCCCCTTGTCTGAACAAAGATGCATAATCCAGTGTTTCTTGCATTGTGAGCTCTCCTGGGGCCATTCATGTTTCTGTTGCCAGCTATTGTTCGGGATTCAGAAGACTATCCCCAAATTGCACATTCACATCTTTAATTGAGCTGAAGCCATTCTAAGGCCTCCCTTTCTTTCCTTCTCCCCAGCACATGATCACTCTGCCTCTCTCTGGCTTTGATCCCAGGGTAAGGGTTGGTTTGTTTTCTTAACACTATTCCTGTTATTCAGTAGTCAGCTTGTGCTTGTTCTTACCTTCAAATAACATTTAATTGCTTTAACACAACTTTTTCAAGGAGGCAGAGAAGAGGTCTTTGAAGATCCAAAATTATCCTCAAAGTGGGTCTCTCCACATCGCTGATATGTGCTGATTTTTAATAACCAAAATATAAAACAAAAGAAAGAAGTTTTATACCACCTTCTCTGAGAGCATTTTAACTGTGGCTCTGTAACCAAAGATTGTCAGGGCTAGAGGGTAATATAGAGGTCACAGATTCTTGGTGGGTTCCAAACTTCTTTAGCTATAGAACTCAGTTCAGACAGAAGTTTTCAGAGTATCAAATATTAGCAGAAACAATGAGGGTTTACAAGACATTTGAAATCTTCTGATTGGCTTTGAATGTTTCATTGTTTATTTTTTTTAAAGATTTATTTATTTATTTATACAAGCACTGGGTACAGTCAGAAGCAGAAGAGGGTGAGAGAATTCACCAGAGCCAGAGCAGGATACAGAACAGGCAGACTGATGAAGTACACTGCTGAGGGGAGCAGCGGGTGGCAGGAGGGGTTTGCGCGCCATGTGGGACCCTCTCCCGGCGGCCGGGGATCGAACCAGCGCTACAGAGGCTGCGGGCAGATTTGCAGCCCAGCACTCAACTACTGCGCCACCGGGGAGGCCCCAAATGCTTCTTTGTTTATACATCAGATGTAGGTGAAGTTCCACTGCCTTTGGATTTTGATCACAGACATTTTACTGATGACAAAAATGATCCCAGAGAGACTCACCTAGTACCTGACAGAGAGCAAGAAGTAGAGCCACCACCTCTTGGTTCCCATCAACAGATGAAATCCTAAACCTGACTGTGTGTCTGAAGCTGGTTAGAGACCCGGATTGGGGGGCCCCAGTGTCCGAGGATATTTGTGGATTCAGTAGGTCCGGAGTGAGAACTTGGAATCAGTATATTTTAAAAGTCCCCTCTGAGCATTTTGTAAAAGTCCCTTGTAAGAGAAGAGGCTAGATTTACTTATGATATGACCATCACAAAAATGATAAAATGGAGCCAATAGAGACTGTTTTCATCAGGTCCAAAAATTAATTACTAGGTTAATGGGCTATTTACAAGGAAGCAGGAGGGGGAAAGAGGTGGGGTCGGGGGAGAAGGAAGGGAGAGGAGGAGGGAAGAGGAGAAAAAAGGAAACTCAACTAATGTTTTGTGTCCCTAGATATTTTCTTGGTATTTCATAGGCCTATTTCCTGAACACTGTCTTAAGATTGATTATGCTTTGCTTTGTGCAAAGTGGTTTTCAATGCATTATCCTTTTCAGTCCATTCAACTATCAAAAAAAAGTGTTGAATCTCTCTCTCACACTCTCTCTCTCTCTCTCTCTCTCTCCCTCCCTCCCTCCCCCCCACCCATCATAGGAGAGGGCCATTTGGCCCCCTTTTGAATACCTTAAGTCTTATTTTCTCTATTTTATAGACAACACAATGAAGATTCACGAAAAAGAAATGGTATACGAGGAAACACAGCTAGTAGGACTAGTTCTAACTCCAAAATCTTGGATTCCGAATCTAATATGCCTCTTTAATGCATCAAAAATAATCCACATTACCAGAGCTTCCTCTTTTCTGCTCACTCCAGCATAATCACAAATGGTATTATAAAACGCAAAACCCAATAACTCTAACAGCTATTAAGAAAAACACAATTGGTGCTCGCAGCCGAGGCCTCATGATGTTTGTTCTAATGTCCTCATTTACTAGCACGGATCACGGTGAGTGAGAGCGCTGCAGACATGCATCCTTTGACTTCCCAGAATCAATTCCCACGTGGGCTAGGAAGGACAGTAGTAGCCTGAAATTCAAAAATGGGAATATGTTACATCACAAATTATTCATCAACAACCACAAAAAAAATTCATTTATTTCGACTTTAAAAGAAAATCAAACTTGTTACGGAAAAAAGGAGAAGCTGCTGAAGGAAGGTGAGTATTTCAGACTTGGGTTACAGTCAAGGGAACCAGGTTCTCTGTCGCCTGAGGAATCTGATGATTTTTCTTCCATCATGATCAGTTGCACATCAACTTACTACACTGAGGACATTGCAATTCATGTGATTATTGCCTCAGCTGACATCACCACGCCCTCCTAGGGACTTTCCATTTCGTCACACAGACATTACTGTTGTCACCTTTTTAGACATGAGAGGGGAGAAAATTGCTTTGATTGATCTTAGGAAGCTGAGGTTCCCTATATGTGCCAGCAGCTTCGTTTCCTCCTGGGAAGCTGGGAATGTCCCTGGGGAAAAAAGTCTCTGCCAACCAGAAGGAAGTTTCCTAGAACTGCCAGGAAGTCCCTCTAGGTTTCTCCCCTTTTCCTGATCTTTGCCTTGTATTTCTGTTTAACTGATCCCCTTCTTAAAAGTTCTAAAGGCGTTGCCCTGCCCAATATCAAAATGTCCTAAAACCACAATAAGTAAAACAACACACTAGAGGTTTAGGCACAGACTCAATGTCCACTTTGTATCTTGATTAACTCATCCTCTCTCTCTCTCTCTCTCTCTCTCTCTCTTCTCTCTCTTTCTCTCTCTCTCTCCCGCCCCCCCCCCCATAGAAGGATAAAGTCCCTCAGCTCCTTTCTGAGCATGCAAAACTTTTAATAGATAGCACTTAAGGACTATTTGTTGAATGGTTGAAGAACAGGTTGGCACCCAGGTTCCAAATGGAAGGGGAGAGACTCTCTCTGCATAAAGGAGTGAAGGAGACTGAAGGTTCGAGATACCAGAGAGAAGGAATAGGAAACTGGAGGAGAGGAAGCAGCAGAAAGTTGCTTTAGGAGTTGTTAGTTCTTGTCCGTGTTGTTGCCACTGTTTTAATGGAAGTTATTCTTCCTAAGGAAGGATAATGAATCTTTTACAAAAATCCCAGCTTATTTATATATTCTTTAACAAAAATACCAAGTTATTTACAACAGTGAAAAATAGGAAACAACCTCAACGGGCATCCCTTGAAAAGTGGTTACGTAAATGAATATGCATCCATACAACTAATGCTACAACCTCATTTTTAAAAATGGACATGATTTTTATGTTGTTATGGAAACACAGCCACAGAATATTAAGTGAAAAAAAAAAACAGCTAACAAGAGGATAGTCAGTGCAACATGAGATGATTTGGGGGCAAGAAGAAAGATACTTGCATAGGCAAAAAGTCTGCAGAGTGTTAAGTGGTTAGTTCTGGAGGCATGATTTCCTCCATGTCAGCCCCTCATGGCAACTTATTCTAAACTACAATTTCTTTTTACAGACCATACAGTTAAATACACTGCAATATATTTTGCAGAGAAAAAGTTATTTCTTCCCCTAGCCACCGAAGTATCTACCTACAGACTTTTATTTCTTCCCACCAAGAGTAAAAGAGGCACCTCCTCTCTTAGCACTGAGATTCCAGGAGGCCGCATACAGGCTAGAAATGAGGCCCCTTTTCAGGCTAGAAATGAGGCCCCTTTCTATCTAATGTAGCATGCCCACAGGCATCCAAAAATAGTAAACATTTAGACTAAAGATTTGCAAGGGAACTGATGGCAAAAATCACTCTTGGAAGAATGTAAGAACTAAGACACTAACTCCAGAAGAGACAGTTAAAGTCCAAGTGACAAGCACACTGGATTGCACAGGAGTCCCCAGGAGAAAACCGGGGGAGATGCTTTGACTTCTCACAGCTTGTCATTCAAACCACCTCCTCTGCCATGACTATTACAACAGCAGTCACCTCGCTGCTTCCCTGTGGGCTCTGACCAGGGGAGCACTTTCTCCCCACCACCCTCACCTCCCACCCCACAAAAGCATGGGGAGAATGGTTAATGGGTTGGGAGTTCAGGAGTGGCATTCTCTCTGTTTCCAGAACCAGAATCATCAGGACCCACTCTTCTCCGTTCCAAGGAAATCCAAAGTAAGTGAGTGACAGAGAGAAAGAGAGAGACAGAGAGAGAGAAAGATCCATTTATCCCTTCAAATACAACATCAGGAGTGTAACTGTGTCAAGAGCAGAAATTGGTTTCACAAACACGAAAGACCTAAGAAACAAAATCGTCATCAGCTCATATGTTCCACTGATTTGATGTGGTTATAAAAGCAGAATAGCCTCCAGATAAAAACCTGGTTTCTGAGATCATGGGCCCTATTACAATAAAATTTCCCTGTAACAATTTAGACTCAGGTATGTGGAAAACACTTCACTTGCATGGTTTTTCCCAAGTGTATTAAAATTTTTATTTCATCCATAATAAAGCCTGTTTTCTCCCAGAAAGAGATATGAGAGGTTTAATAAGGGAGTGGTTTTGCAGGGTTTTCTGACTCATTCAATGGAAGTCAGTTTTCTTTCCCTGCACACCAGAGACCAGGGATTCCTACGGATATGAAGATGGTCACCCTCCATCTCCTGAGCCGAGAGACAGGCTTGGCACAAATTTCTTGACCCCATTACTGAGCTCTCCCACACATTGACTGTTCCCGGGATTGGCCCCCTATTACTCCAACAAGGACAGAGTAAGACATGAACGTAGATTTCTGGAAATGCCAGGCAGACCTCCCCTTCCTGGGTCCTTTTCCTTACTCTAGGCACTCAGGACCTTTTCCATATCCAAACATACTCCTAAGAAATGACCTCATGTCAGTCATTCACACTTTAGTAGGAATTCAAATAATTCCTCCTCTAAAAGCATTTTCGTTTTTAGTCTTATTGTGAGAAAGAATATTATGTTTCTTAAAGGAATCTCAGGCATATTTGAACAGACTTTTGGGGAGTGGGAGTAAGAAGGAAAACTTCCTCTTTTTTTTCTTTTCATTTTTATTTTTTTAAATCAAAACTGCATCTTTATTTATTTTTACATTTTTATATTAATTTTTTTATTTTTTACATCACTGTTCATTTTTAAACAATATTTGCTTCCCCTCACTCCCTCAGGTGTAGTCCCCATAGTGTCCTTCCCCAATGCACCCGTGCACCATCACCTCAGTCCCTGTGCTCCACCCCCTTCCAATCCCCCTCCCGCTTCCTCCCCTGCAGGATGTCTCTGATTTACAATTGTCTGGTTTTGCTTTGTTGTGTTTTGTACTGTTATTATTTTTTTACACTCATGTCTTATTGGGTTTCCCCATATTCCTGCTATAAGTGAAACCATCCTTTATTTTTCTTTTTCAAGAAGGAAAACTTTCTGAACTCCTTGAAAGCTCATCATTTTTATGGATGCATAAATAAAACAAACACAGCAAAGCAAAAAGCCCATGGAAGTAGAATTGCCCTTTGGAGAAACCAACCCACTTCTGTTCCTTTACAACATTCCTCCTTTCTCCCAGGAGATAGAGCACCCAACTGGAATGGAGCCCAAGGAAGAACAGTTACACTGGCGAGAGCTTAGGCACAGCATAGTTAGTACAATCACCTGTAACGTTCAATGATGTGCTGCTTATTTACAATTACTTTAATTACATTTGAAAGGACAAAGATCAGAAACAGATGTGAGACATGTGAATTAAAATTAATGATCATTTGTTAATGGAGTGAAGAGCTATTCATCATTTTATTAGAAGTAATTCTTAAAGTCATATGGAGCCTTTTACAATGGGGCAGATCTTTGCACTCTTTATAATATTAAGGTTTTGATTAATAAAATACAGGAACAGTATTGCCCATGTAAAATTTCCTCTTATTAAATTTAGTAGTTAATGGTTAGTAGGACAAGCTGGATATGTTCCCGTCAAGTGTGTATACAAATGTGGAACAGGCTGTGCTGTCTTTCCTTCTTTCATTCATTTATTTTAACAATTGTTTATTGAGTGCCAGGCACCAGGCTAGGTAGAGAGATACAATAGTGAACAAAAAGAGACATTCCTGCCTTCCTGGGTAAAGGAGATAGATATTAATAATTATCTTCACATATATAAAGTTGCAACTATAAAATGTGATGAGCATGTGCAAAGGTCCTGTGACAGAGGATATTCTGGAGAAGTAACAAGAGACCAGAAAGCTAAAGTGACTGGGAAAAAAAGACCCGAGGAGGCACCTCGTGTCAGACCAGGGTACAGGGGCCAGAGGCATGTGGGCCAAGACTAGAATTTTATCTTTTTCTTAAGAATGATGGAAAAGCAGGCAAAAGTTTTTAAGGAGTGTGGCAGTGTCAGATTTCAATTTTGAGATTGTTCTGACCAGAGGATAGAGTCTAAGTGGGAATATGGGAGACAGAGTGAACTTGCGGACACCAGTTAGACATGTTTGCGTTATTCTATGTCTGGAAATGAGAATGGGGAAGGGAAAAGAGTGCAGGTGGCCAGGCTGGGGTAAAAGTGGGAAGGAGAGAAGTGACTGGGTTCGAGAGATCCTGCTCCTGGGTAGGCCCAGGGCATGGATTTGGATGGACCAGTCAGTGGCGAGGACAAGCAAGGTGCTACTGGACAGCTCATGGGCTACCAGTGCAGAACTGGATGGATGGCGACCCAGTCACTGAGTTTTTTTAAATGGTGGAAGAGACACAGTGAACATGGGAAGGTTCTGGGTCTCTGGGTGAAAGGCCCATGTGTCCTTCCTGAATACCTTCCCACCCCAGCAGAAGCTGTAGTTATTGTGGAGAAGACAATGGAGTTAAAAACAGCTGGTGTGGCCATTTCTATTTGATCACATTCCCCCGCTCCTGGGATATCAGTAGTCGAGGGTCTGGGACATTAGGAGTGCCAGGACAGCCCAGAGGGCATCAGAGATGCCCTGAGAGCAGCCAGTCACTAACAAAGGTGTGCCCAGCACGTGCCAAGTGGTGAGTATCAATTGTGAGTAAGTGACCTCCCTGTGTTAACAGGAAGTT